CACCAAATTCCAGCCCACCGGATGCAGAGAGTTATTTAACCCCAGAGGGACACAGAGCATTCCTTTAAGGCCTGCTCCGGCACAAAGGCCATCATTCCGAGCAAGTGTGCAAGAAAAAGACGTAGGGGGGGAATAAAAGAAAGAACTATTGAATGGATTTAGGCTCCGAAAGGTCTTCGTGCATATGTTCTTTATGAGAAGATATTGAGGAGATTCAGCCCGTGCTCAGATGGCATAGCAGGTGACCCCCTCTTGTGTTTTGGGATTGCTTTCTGGCGCCGGTCTGAGACCAGCCTTCTGTTTCTGAGTGCAGCCAGACCCCTGTAAAACCCTACAGAGCCCCTCCAAGGTGCCATTTGCCACGATGCGTTTTGCATTCAGGTCCTTGCTTTCCCAGCCAGGGCAGGCTTGCCGATCGCATGCTCCATAGGGGTGCATCCCTGGCGGTGACTTGCCAAATGGCCCTGGTCCTGCCAAAGCAGGTGACGGGCAACGTGCGAAACCCTGGGGATGGCGTTTCAGCTGTTCAGGACCTGCTCCCAGGAAAAGAGGCCACAATAAGGGACTGGCCGGAGCGGGCCCCGCAGTCGCTATTGCTCCTGCTTTTGGTGACCATTGGAGCCATGCAGCAGCGGCTCCGGGAGAGGAGACTTTGCACAAGGAGTTTCTCATGCAGACATGAGAAGGGCGGCAGCGGAGCTGCGGCTCCAGGGACTCCTGGGGGCAGGGAGGGAGATGTTAGTTCCAGTGCCTTGTGCCCAGGTTACAGGATGGGTTACGGTGCCCTGAAACCTGCGCTGCCTTTGAAACGCAAGGCGCTCGCTCAGTCGCTCGGGACTCAAAGGCTGCTATTGTTCTCCAGGTGCGCAGCTGAGGTGCACCTTCTCCCCCTGCTTGCTGCTTGCGCTGCTGGGGGCAGAAATTCCCCTTATTGCAGGGGATGTAGCTTGCTGCAGGGGACACCCAGCAGGCCCAGGAGGCTGGAAGGGGCTGAGGGCATCCTGGGCACTCACAGAGATGCTTTGCCGGCCACAGGGCACACGGGTTGCCTCGCTGGGCCAGCTGAAGTCCATTCCCTCTCTGGGGCTGGTGCCCAACGGGAGCAGCCACATGCAGTGCATCAGCAGAGGAGCCAGCCGTGCTGGGAAACGCTGCAGCGCGTGTTGCTTCACTGTCTCAAGGCAGAGTTCAAGTTTATAAATGCCGGGCACAGTGTCAGAAATCCAGTGCTTGCACAGTGGCTGGTCTGGGGGTAGCCAAGGGATGCTCTCTACTGGCACTGGCCCTCTCTTTGCGGTAAGGAGGAGGCTGCTCAGATGCCAGCGGCTCCCTGGTCTAGACACGGGGACTCCAGAGCTGGCAGCAGCCACCACCTGCCTGGCTCTAAGGAACAGGGAGCATCCCCAGCCCCACGGGCCATGGGCCGGTGAGCGGCCTCCGTGGGGCGCCGAGCAGCGTGGGGGTGCGTTGAGCACCATGGCCTGAGCAGTTCACACATACACGGCTGCTGGCGAGAGGCCCAGGAGCTGGCAGCTGGCCTGGAAATAATAATAAGAAAAAAAGAACAAAACACTAAAACAGGCGCAACTGACGGGGGCCAGGCTGGGGAGGGGGTGTTTGTGACGATCTGTAGTCCCTGACTCCCATGGCAGGAGGGCAGGGAGGAAGGTCCCCAAAACCGGCCTTCTCATCCAGGGAGGTGACAGCGCTGTGCACATCCAGGGCACCTTCTACGTGTGGGGACACCAGGAACAAGTCTATTTCTCCTGGTCACATCTCTGCTTTCACCTGCCTCACCCTTTCAAGAAGATGCAGGCAGCTCTGGAGATGAAGCTGTCTGAGATCCTCCTGGAAGAATCCCCTCCATGCACGGATGGCACCAACACGCCCCAGCAGCGGCGCTGGGCTCCTGCGCCACCTCGTCCCTCACCCTGCGAGCTGGGCTCCCCATCCCGCAGGACAGGGACTCGCAGTGGCAGCAAAGACTGCGTGGGATCTGGTGGGATGCAGGAGACCGGGTGGGAAGGGTTTGGAGCCACTGCCAGTGCCGTGCACGAGGGCAGCTGTGTGGATGCAGCACAAGGGGCCCCAAAGCCGGCTCACCCCTGCACGCGGCTCCACACAAGTGCGACCCCCCAGAGCCTGTGCCACGGGTAGCTGCGATCCACACCCAGACTTAGGATTCTCCAGAACTGGATTCATCGCTGCACCTGTTTAGAGGTTACAGAGCCCTGCTGTGAGAAGCAAAGTGTTTCTATGGATCAGCAACCCAGCGAGGAGACAGGAAGCCAGGAGGAGAGTTCAGAGATCGATTTTCATTCTGGCAGAAGGTTAAGGGTAGGGAACAGGAATGCTCTCTGAGGCACTGGGTAGCTTAGTACATAAACTGATGATCTGGAAAGGAGGATGAGCAACATACTAAACATTTTTTCGGGGATGACTCAAGACTATTGACTCTTGAGGAGATAGGAAAAGACTCTAAGTAAAATGCAAATTGGCAAATGGGCAACAAGATGCATTCACCATGCTTTAACTTGGCATATGCAAAGTCAGAAAAAAAAACAAAAAAACATTGCATGTAAAAATTATAAAGCTCCAGACTGACTCTAGCAGCTCAGGAAAGGATCTGGATGTCAGTGTAAGCAGTCTCACACAAACCTTGGCTCTGTGAGCAGCTGCAGGTTAAAAAAGCACACACGAAATATTAGCATGCAGAAGGAAGAAGGGGAGAATAATATGGAAAATATGATAATGCTATTATGTAAATCAGTAGCATGGCCTCTCTGGGAATACTCTCTGCAGTTCAAGTAAGCCTTTCTCAGAAAGGCTGATTAGGGGCATGGCATACTCGCACATGAAGAGAGATCAGAAAGATTCGGGTTGTTTATCTCGGAAAGGGAAATGAACAAGAGGAGATTGGCACGGAGCAAGGCGGTCCGGAGTCTGGCTTTCTTTCTGCTCAATTCTATCACTGTCATATCTGGTGTCACTGAACAGTGCGTGAAGTGATGTGGCTCTCCTCTGTCACAGGCATTTTGTTCTTTCTCTCACCCTTTCCCCCAGGGAGGCATGGCATAAGCATCTACGTTTTCTGTTTCAGTAGGAGTCGGGGAGGAGGGGATGGCTAAGGATGAGCAGTTACTCCCCAGAGCAGAAGAAGCGGTGATAATGAAAAGGGGGCCTCTGCACTTGAGCAGGGTCCTGGTTTTGGGAGGTTTGTTTCATTTCTTTGGGCCAGCTACAGCCCTCATCCTAGAGTCCTGGGCAGGCTTTGAAATTTCCAAGCAGACCATGGGGTTCCTCGGAGATAATAAATAAATAAAGAGAGCTTGTATTTACTAAGTTATTCTGTAAGAAGCGTCAGGATAGCTGAAGGTGCCCTCAGACAAACAGAGTTAACTCACTGCTGTCTATCCTGAAACACGAAAATAAAATAGAGCCTGCCCTTTCCTATCTGCCTGCACATTCCTAGGCTGTGATGGCTGGGGATGTGGATGTCGATGTGGGTGTCGCGCACACTGAACTGTCCCCTTCCCCGCGTGAAGCCGCTGGGCGGCATCCAGGCTTGGGAAAGGCAGAGCAGCCAAAGGAAACACGGATCTGTGCGCCAGCTGTCCTGAGCGGAGGAGACCACGCTCGCGAGCAAGCAAAGCCCCCGGGGCCGGGAGCGCAGCGACTTCCAGCGAGGCGATGGCTCAAACACCAGCTTCGCTGTGCGCAGCCAGCGCCGCGCCGGGAGGAGCTGCTGCCTCCGCCTGCA